CCCCTCCCTGCTCCCTTGCCCCGCCGCGGCCTTGGGATCGGGTGGAGCAAAAGCCAGTCCTGGCCTGGGCAGGAGCGGGGGCAGCTGTTGGGCCTGTGAGGGCTCGGGAGCAGGAGGGGCTGGGGGGGGAAAAGGGAGGCTGGAGGGGCTGGAGGAGAAAGGGGGGCTGGAGGAGCAAGGGCCTGGAGTGCAGGAGGAGCAGTGCCCTAGAGGGGCAGGCAAAGCAAGGACCTCCTGCATTGTGGTACAGATGACAGTGCGTTGCGGGACTAGCTTGTACAGCAGCCTGTTGCACCACTCGGCCTCTGCCGCCGTCCTCTGCTGGAGGGTCCTGTTGAGGTCCCACAGGGCCACTACGTGCTCTCTCAACAGGTCCGTGTAGACATGCCAGTGCTTGTGGGTGCCACGGGTCTGGGATGGTGGTGGGGCGGCTGTGGTGCTCCCCTGTTGAGTAGAGAGTCTGGCTGTGGAGGAACAGAAGAGGAGACAATCAATGTCTGTGTGCACCCCTGCTGTCCCGGGGGTATGCCGTGGCTGTCAAGGGCTCTTCTTTGCACAGGAGACCCAGGGGTGTTACATGTGACACCGTATGTGAGTTGGGCAGTGGCCTGAAAGCCTCACAGGGGCCCCACAGTGGCAATGGGACTAGATGGCCCCCCACACTGCCAACCTACCCATGTGTGGTGACCCCTCAAAGCACTCACCTCATGTTCCCTCCCCAATGTCCACGGACGCCTGGGAGGCCTCTGGGGTCTGGAGGACTGGCTCCTGGGAGAGGGCCCCTGCTACCTCCTCTTCCTCCTCCTCCAGGTGCGCCTCTCCCGCATCTCCTGCCTGGTTGTCCTCTGTCAGGTGTCGGTCCACGATGTGATGGGATAACCCGGACTCCACCACACACAGTGGAGTCTGGGCTTCCCCACCGCCCAGGATCTGCTCCAACTCCTGGTAGTAAGGGCAGCTCTGTGGGGCTGCCCCAGAGTGGGAGCTCTGGTCCCAGGCCTTGGCATATCCCTGCTGCAGTTCTTTTACTTTGGCCCTCACTTGGTCCACAATGTGGGGGTGATGCCCTTTGTTGGCCAGTCCCTGGACCATGCACTCATAGATGCCCGCATTCCTGTGGCGTGTCTGCAGGGCCTACAGGGCTTCTTCCTGGGACCAGAGCTCCAGTAGGTTTTTAATTTCTAGCTCTGACCAGGCTGGTGCCCATCTTTTGGTGCCCCTGGGTGGGTTCTCCTCAGGAGTGGCCCTAGACAAGCTGCCGGCAACTGGCACCCTAGGTGAAATGCGCGATCAGCGCACAATCGGCACCCCCGCCTCCAAAGTCCTCAACGGCTGTTTATCTTGGTACACTAGGCGACCGCCTAGGTCGCCTGTATTGACGGGCTGCCACTGGTTCTCATCACTGTCCCGAGATGGGCCAGGGGGGCCTTGAGGCTGGGACATGGCTAGCACGGGTGCTCTGGCTAGCTTCCTGGCAGCAAGGCCTGTCTGGGTACCTGTGCTTTTAAGAGGCTGTGGCCAGGGACCACAGAGGTGCTCTACATGTGAAGGCTAGACTGCCCACCAGGGCTTCTTCCTGGAGGCCTTTTTTTTCAACAGAACTGGCTCCCTGCATCCACACATGCCTTTTTTCCACAGATCTCTGTGGAAAAAGGCGTTCTTCCTCGTAAAACGAAGTTTACCGCTGTCAACAAAACTACCGCGTTCTGTCGCCAGAACATGGAGGTAGTCTAGACGCACCCTGTGTGTCTCAGCATTACAAAATGTACACACATTTCCACTCTCTCAGCCCGTAGTAGCTGGATTTTGGGGTTGGTTTACTGTTTAAGTTTCAGGGAGGTTTCCTGGGTGTGTGTGAGGGGTGGGTAGGTGATAGTTATAGATAGGCTATTAGAAACAATTTATGTATTTGGTTGTTAAGGCAGCACTTAGTTCCAGATTCATGAGCCAGTCCCTAATAAAGTGCTTGTGTCATGCCCAGGTGTTGTGTCATGCCCAGGTGAGCCTCTCCTGAGGGGGGTGTTCCCTTGTTCCTGAGGAGCACAGCTGGAGCGGGGGGAGGGGAGGGGGAAAGGGGGACGTGTCATTATCACACAAGGATTTAGATCAAATCCCAGCAGGGCTGTTGAGGCTGAGGACCAAGTCTTTGCCTATGATTCAGTACTACCCGGGGAGATGGTGCAGTGAGCAGAGCAGGGGCCTGACAACGGTTTGTGGCCTGAGTTGCTGAGGAGATGCACTGAACCAACTGCTGCTTTTCCAAGTTTGGTTATTTCAAACCCCGTTCAGAGAATGGCCCTACGTTAACTCAGCGGTCCTGCAGGCAGAGATCACTACAGCTAAAGCTGAAGGTAAGAGGAGGCACTGAGGTCCCCGCTTTCTTCTGCGCAACCTGCACCAGAGGACAAGATGGGGCTGGGGAGACTCAATTAAATTACCGTGCTTGGTTATAATGAAGAAACTGCAACCTCTCTTTCTTCAGTGTGTCTTGATTCTTTCCTTCACTTCTCCCAACAGAATCCTCATTACGGTATTGCCATAATGGACCTTAATGAGATTAAATTGCAGACGTGAAGAGGCAGCCGGAGCCAGATTCGTCAGACTCTTTTAGCTTCTGGGGTATTTGTAACAAAAGCGTGTGCGTGGGTTTTCTTTAGTAGCCACCAAAGGAAACAGCGGCTGTAACTGTCTCCAAGGGTTTCCTGGTGCCACATCATTACCTTGTTTTATACAAGCGGCTTTTTGCCTCTGGAACAATCAAGGGCTTTGAGCCTGGTGTTTCTTTAGAAAATGCTTTAAAGCAGTGATGGGCAACTTAGGCTAGTGAGTGGGCCTCATGAGTGGCCCGTCTTCCTCTCAGTGGGCTGCAAGATTGTCAAAGGGTAGTTTTGCTAACTGTGCTTGCATGCCTGGAATTTGCGGGATGTGAAGATTGAACTCTAGCAGTGCTTCAACTGGACACAGAGGGAGGGCACGGCACTCACAATCCTGTATACAATCAGTACACATCTCACTTCATGTGCCCTCGTGTGTGTCACTTTAGTAATACTAGTAGGGAAAAAAATTAAGCGGATGGAAACCAGTGGAATCTGACTCCCTGCATATCTCATGGGCCGCATATAACCTGGGGCTGCCAGTTTCCCATCACTGCTTTAAACTCAGTCTCTCCTGTGTTTGCAAATCAAAGAAACTTCCATGCTCCCTTTGAGTAGCAGAACCTGTCTGGAGCCAATGACGGGAGCAATAGAGAAGAGAACAGAAGATTTCTTTCAAACTAGAAACCATACCACTAGCATTCTGAGGTCTACTAAGCACTTTTCCTAGTAGTCCTTGGGTTAGAATGGACCCTTCTCTTTTCAGCTAATGCCTAACAACGATATGTTTCACACAGTCCAAGTTCTTTTTGTACCTTATCATGAGGCTATGTCTGCACTGGGAAGACTTGGCTACAAAAGTGCTGTGGACATGCAAATGTTGCCCAAAGTGAAAACCGGTCAAACCAGTTTTTCTGTCTCCCATTGTTGACATGTCATGGTCATATTGCTAGGTCCCCTGTTGACAGACAGAGCAAAGCAATGTGAGTAAGCACAGTGCAGTATTGTGGGAAAGCAGAGCTGATCCCTGCACTTCTTGGCATTCCTTTTTAGCCCTGTGAGCTCTCCGGAATGAAGAATGCTGAGAAATGTCAAAGCAGCTCAGCAATCTCTCCAGCCTTCCCCCTGAAGCAGCAGTCTGCCCACTGCTGTGTTCCTAGCAGGGCAGAATAGGAATATTCCAGTGATTTGTCCTTTGTTCCCCAAATGGAGATACTGACAGATACTTCTCAGAGCTTTGAAGGGGGGAGGGGGGGCATGCCTGCAGGGCACCAGAGAACACAAAACACTGAGCACCGCCATCAGGATAGGCATTGTGGGATACTGGAGGATGCCAGTTCTCTCCACAAAACAAAGAGTAGAGTCTGCACTGGCTCTTTGTCAACAATAAAGGGAGGCGAGAAAAACAAAATTTTCACACAGAGATGGAATTTTTTTGTTGCCAAACCGGTTTTTCCCAGCAGAAGTCGCATTGTAGTGTAAACGCTCTCACTGTTTTGTCACCAAAAGGCAGGTTTTAGTGACAAAACATGCCAGTGTAGACAAGGCCTTAGTCTGAACAAACGTATAGATTCTGTCTCTGTCCCCTAACACAAGAAGGTGTAGTTGCCATAGGACCTGCAGGGGAGATTTCTGTAGAAGGGGTGAGTAGAGGATGAAGATGGTGCAATGGTCAGTTCAGAGGGTACATGGCAAGTGGAAAGTAGAGGCACAGGAAGAGAATGTATAAATTTAGAAATGGCACAAGTCTCAAAATTCAGATGTGGATTATGACACTTGACGCAAACCTAGGAGGATGTTTGGATCTATGGCGATGTTTCTCATGTGATCCATGGACCCACTCTGAGGCTATATCTACACTGCACGCTTATTTTGAAATAGCAAAGAGTGCGTCTACACAGCAAGCCCATTATTTTGAAATAATTTCAAAATAACGGGCTTCTTATTCCAACTTCTGTAACCTTCATTTCACGAGGAGTAAGGGAAGTCAGAGGGAGAGTGTTCTTCCTTCGACTCCCTGTTGTATAGACAGCTCCTAAAGCTGAGTTAAGCTACTTCGACTTGAGCTATGCAATGAACATAGCTGAAGTGGCATATCTTAACTCGACTTTAGCCTGCAGTGTAGATGTATCCTGAGAAAGCTGCTACCAGGCTGCTCCGGTTTGTTTACTTCCCAGCTCCGCAGCCACGAAGCCTCACATTGGCTGCTGTTCACTGTTTGCAGCCAAGGGGAGCTTCAGGAGGCAGCATGACTTGGACCATTTTGAGAAACACTGGTCTATGGTTTTGGTTTGATCTTATCTGTGTGTGGAGAGAGGGTAGGGTGCATGGGAGTTGGAAAAGTCAAAAAGTCTGGCAAGGTTTTCAGAGGACAAGGGAGCAGATACTAAATGATGCATTGCAGAAGAATCTTGAGAAGAGAAGAGAAGAGAAGAGAAGAGAAGATCATTGCAAACACTTGTGACTCTTGGTAGCACTGCCACCTCGTGTCCCTGCCAAAATTTTAGTGGCTAAACAGGGTGCCCACCACTTACTGCAAATAGAGAATTAGATATCCCTTTTGCACGGAGGCATTGGAGTTTCAGCTCTGAAACAGACTGCATTACAAAGGGTGGGGCCCGGATAACTACAGGCATAACATAAAACTATATTTGTTCGAATCAACTTCATTTGTCTTTGCTGACGTTACAATGAGCTGCTGAGACAACAAAACCAGAAACCAACTTTAAAAGGCCTTGCTGGATGCCAACCAGCATGTTCACCGAGCTGGATCAGATCCAGGCCAAGAGTCTTTGCTGTTGTAATTTGGAGCAGCTCCATTGACCACAAGGAAGCTGTACCAGTTTCTACTAGCAGAGAGTCTGACGCCCAGGATCTGCATAAGGCTGACCTTTCTTCCTGTTATATGAATAGCAGCTACCCTCATTCTGTCAATCAGTGTCAGCTGAAGCAGCAACTTCTATTTTTCTGCCACTAAATTAGGGATGGGACCAGATCTCAAACCCAATTCACTATGTTTTTGTTCATTTCAAACCTATATGGTACATGCCTTATCTTCCTTTGTGTTAAATGCCACCTACCAAACAGCAATATTAATTTTCAATTTTTGTCTTAACTAAAATGTAAGTATAACCTCCTTGAGCTCAAAATTTTGCTTGTAATTATATAGCTGAAGTAAAGTATGCAGGCAAGCACCATAATCTATCTGGGCATAGAATCATGCCAAGGATGGTGAGAGTTTTATCTGAGTAAGATCCAGCTCACATTCTTGCAGGAAATTGCCATTAGCTGAATGTATCTATTTTGCTCCATCATTGTACAGCTGCCCAGTTTATTTTTCACTGGTGTGCCTTGATATTACTTAACTTGCGCTGTGCATCAGCCAGAAATGCCTGGACTTCTTGGGTGTTTGGTAGAGGCTAACCAAACACCCAAGAAGAGCCTCTCGCCTTCACTTTTTTCAGCAAAAATTCCCACCTCCTTTGGCTGCAATTTACTAGGCCAGTGTTTCTCAAACTGTGCTACGCGGAGCCCCAGGGCTCTGCGAGACATCTCCAGGGGCTCCGCAAGGTTGACAAACTGAAAACTTCGATAAGTACAACACAAATAATCAGTGGATCGCTGGGGCACTGCATAAATTTTTACGCATGTACAATTTTTGGGCTCTGGAGCCCCAAAAGTTTGAGAACCACTGCCCTAGGCCATGCAGGAGGAGACTCAGGGTATGTCTACACTACAAAGTTAATTCAAAATAACAGCAGTTATTTCAAATTAACTTTAATAGAGTTTACACAGGCAAACTGCTATTTCGAAATAAATTCGAAATAGTGGAGCCCTTATTTCGAATTTGGTAAACCTCATTCTACGAGGAGTAACACCAAATTCGAAATAGCTATTTCAAATTAAGTGCTGTGTAGACACTTGATTCGAAATAGGGGGCCTCCAGCCCTTCCCAGGGAGCCCTGGTGGCCACTCTGGGCACAACCAGGAAAGCTTACTCTCCTCTACCAAGCCCAGGAGCCATTAAAGGGGTAGACCCTGGCCACAGTGCCTGTGCCAGCTCCAAGCCTGGCAGCCCAGAGCCAGCAGTGGCCATGTGATCCCTGACATAGTGCTCCCAAAACATGAGTCAGCAAGCCACTGGCAGCCAGCCCTCCACCGCTCCCCAGGAGCAGTCTGCCAGCTCCCAGGAGCCTGACAGGGGCTGGAGAAGGTGGGCGCCTTCCTGGTTCAGGTTGGAGATCATGGACCTTATTCAGGTTTGGGGGGGGATGCCCCCAACGTTCATGATCTCTGCACTAGATGGAGGAACGTGGCCGTCTATGGCAGGATAGCTGCCAGCCTGGCCACCAAAGGCCACATGCGAATGCAGGAGCAAGTTAGCATGAAAGTCAAGTTGGTCTGGTGAGACCCCCAACCCTGAGCCCTGAGCTTCCCCTCCCGCTTCTTCCCCTTGCTTCCAGCTTTCCCCCTCCCCTCTTCTACCCTCTCTCTTCCCCTCTCCCACCTCCTTTTCCCAGTCTCCCCAGAGGTTCATTCCCTCTCCCCCCAGTTTTGTTCAATAAACCCAGTTTCTATTTTTGAACATGCGTGTCTTTTATTTGACATCAGGAAGGGGGGCTAGGGAGGGGTCAGTGGGAGGACATGAGGGAGAAATGGGGCATGAGCCCCTGGTGGGGAGGACCGGGGGAGGCTCTTAGTGCTCCTTGAGGTGGACTCTCTCCCGCAGGGCCTCCTGAATCCTGACAGGCCCCCAATGGACCCCCCAGATGGCAGCCTGCAGCAAGTGCAGCTGGGCTGATGGCAACAACCCCACGAGATGCACCGGCATGCCCAGGGGCAGCACTGGCTCCATGTGGTCGAGTGCTGTGGTGTCCCGAGTGCGGGCACTCAGGACACTCCAAGCCAGGACTGCTTTGCTGTCCCTCATCGAGGTAGACAAGCAAGCGGGGA